CTGTAATCCTATAAAAACACAACCAAACCGAGTTTCGTGGCCTAACATGCCTATAATGCCTACAAATGAATATGATCCTCGTCTAAATCCTATAGAAACGTCTAGGAAATATAGAGAGAATTAGGAGTTATCAAATCTCCCCGGACTTAAACCTTTGCTCGTCCTTGAGTAAAGAACGAAGGAATAAAATCTGCAAAACGGGGAATGACAAACATCAAATAGCATCATCATGAAACTCAAAAGCAAAACATCCATCCAATGCTATTTTTCCGAGAATCGTACCCAAACCGGTCTACTATGGTCTTTCTACCAAAGACTAATCTACCTAGTCATGGGACTTTTATTGCCACCTAGAACCCATTAGAATCTCCACAACTCACCAAGCGTATTTCCGAACCAATCCTTGTCTCAACTTAGCCTCTTCGATCTTAGTTCTTCTTTATACCTGGATTTTTACCTTTTTGTAGAATTTTTCTATCAAACGCTGACATCTCGGATTTCTAGGATGTTGAAGTTGAAGGACATCGTTTTCCTCATCTCTCTTTTCTTTTCTTTCTTTTCTTCTCTTTTTTTTTCTATATTTTTTTCTTCTTTCGATGCGATGTCCGACCCACAACTTAGACCCGAACCATCAATCGATGCACTCATGTCCTCGAACGATTTTCGTTGACGAGATTCTGACAGCGGAGTGTCGAGACGCTTTATTTTCCCAAGATATTCGTTGAACTAGATTTCATCGACCTGCAAGACTCGGAAAAAGTTCTAAACGAAACATATAACTTGGATACAGTCGTTTCAACTCCGTAAGTTCCAAATAACAACCCCATCCCACAAACTTAATAGAAAGTCTAGAGAACTATCAATTCGACACGGTTCAACCACGTTCTACAAAGTCACTAGATCATCAAGATATTCTTACTCTATCATTTCACAAATCTTCCAAATGATGCTCAAAACGGGTTTTCGAGGTATGCACGTGAACCTATATGAACCTAAATCTTATATGTCAAATGCAATCATGCAAACCTAACAAAAACCCATCTATATGAAAAATAAGGAAAACGTGTGAATGCAACTAATGCAAAGTGATATGTAAAAGTGAAAAAGTTTTCCTAAGTCTATATGCCATGATAAGATGAACCTAAACTAAATGCAATCCTAAGTAGATAGACCTGAATGTATGAAGGATCTATCCACCCCCCCAGACTTGAACCATACACCGTCCACGGTGTAGACTCTCGCCCGGAAAAGTAGAATCCAAAACAACGTGTGAAAAGAACCAATAAGAGGGATAAGGAAGGCTTAGCTCTGCGAAATTCGTTTGCTCGCAACGAAGTTAACTCACGTCAAACGCAAAAGCTCTCACACACTCCTTGAATTGGAACCTATCCAACGTTGTCTCTCGGAAGTCGATGTTAATCTCTCTTGTGCCGGTGTAAACGCTCATAGAACAACAAACGTTATCCGAACAAAAGCATAATAATAGCAATGCATTCCGAAAGATCCAAAATACAATCATGGTCTCTACCACCTATGCTACAAAGAAAAAGAAAAGAAAAATTACCTAATACTCGGGTTGCCTCCCGAGAAGCGCTTGTTTAACGTCATTAGCTCGACCTATCTTGCTCAAATGATGGGAGGGTCTGAGAGGCGAAGATAATCGATCTTTCGCCACCCTGGATGTTGAGCATTAAGCGCATCTTTTAGACCTCGTGTATGCTTGAGCCTTCTATACTCCTTGGGTTTCCAAACTTGTGAAGGAGGTGGATCTTGTGGACGTTTGAGCGATGATTTTGCTCGTTTCGATCCTCTCTTGCTCATTACCCCTACTCGAGAACCTGTAATAGAAGGTTCAAACACGGATATGGAATTATGAGCGGGATATGTACCTCTCTCCAATGATGGTCCTGTGTTCCTATCCGTGTATGTGTGTTCCTTTGTCCTAAGCCTTTGAGGTAGGGGCTTCAATTTCACCTTCGGGGCATTCTCTAGATTCCAATCCGCTTTATTCGGCATCCCCGTACTTGATTCGGTCGAGTCAGAACGCAGAAACTCGAATTTTTCCTCAGTTCCGTCCTCTAATGCCTGTGTAAGCTCCCGAATATCCTTCCAGTTGTTGTATATACTCTCATTCGATGCCAGGAGGGATATTTCAAGTGGATCAACATCTCGGAACTGATCGAAGTCTTCCTGAGTCAAGATCTCGTGTACATCGACGTAGCACGCTGAGTCGGTGGTGGATGGCTGCTTCATGTCGTGATCTAAGGTGAACTCCACAGTCTCGCCACCTATCTTCATCGTAAGACGACCAGCACGAACATGAACCACCGCATCGGTCGTGTTTAAGAATGGTCGGTCTAATATAATTGGTATCTTCGAGTCCTCTTCCATGTCTACAACAATAAAATCAACGGGAACATAGTAATTCCCGACCTTCAATGGGACGTCCTCGAGAATACCTGCAGGATACTTGACGGATCTATCTAATCCCCGACTTTCAATGGGACATCCTCGAGAATACCTGCAGGATACTTGATGGATCGATCTGCTAACTGTAGTGCCATCCTCGTCGGTTTAAGATCTTCAATGTTGAGCTTCTTGTAGATGGACAACGGAAGCAAGCTCACACTGGCACCCAAATCGCACAATGCACGGTCAATCTCAATGTTCCCGATTTTGCAAGGAATCGAGAAACTACCTGGATCCGATCTCTTTCGTGGCAACTCATGCTGTAGAATCGCATCGATGACCTCTGTGCTCAAGGATACTGTCTCCTTCCCAATCACCCTCTTCTTAGTTAAGATATCTTTCAAAAATTTTGCATAAGAAGGGATCTGGAGTATCGTCTCGTAGAAAGGTACCTTAACCTCTAACTTCCGAAGCATATCAACAAATCTGGACAACTGTGTATCCTCAGTATGCTTCTTCAATCGAGAAGGGAAAGGAATGGGTGGTACATAAGGTGGAGGAGCTACATATGGTGGTTCGGCTTCCTCTATATGCACCTTAGGTGTCTCGTGATCTATGACTTTCTCTTTCTCTTCAGCAGTGTATCTAGACTTCATCCTTTTTTCTGTGGTCAGAGGGACTGCATTTATAAGCTGAATAGCATTGACATGCTCTCGTGGATTCGGTTCGGACTTTCCAGAAAATGTGCCCTGCTGTCTAGAGGGTTGTGATGCAAGCTCTGCAATCTGCATGTCCACATGCTTTAGATGAGCCTCAACCCCATCTAATCTCCTCTCAAAAGTGTCTTGCCTTTCCCTTATGCTCTGTACCTCGGTTTTCAGCTCCGTAAATGATGTCTTCTGATCGGCCATCAGTTGGGCAATCATCGTCTTGATGTCCGCTTCATCGTTCTTTGCAGGTTGATGCGCTCGGTAACCCTGATCCTGCTGCCCGTACCCAGGATTCTGTTGCACGTATCCCTGATTCTGCCCCTGAAAACGTGACTGAGTAAAGCCTGGGGGATTCTGAGGGATTCTGGGAGCGCTCTGATGTTGCGCATTCAATGCTCCGCTTGGATTTCCGTAGGAGAAACCAGGATGGTTCCTAGGCGTGCTCGGGTTGTAGAGATGTGAAGGATTCTGGTATTGATTCCTTCCTATGTAGTTGACGTCCTCAACCGATTCTTCTTCTGATGTGGCCTGATTAACCAGAAACATTCCAGGCTGGACTTTGTGCGGGATAGATGTATTCTTGAGTCCCATATGTTGTTTGATCACCGATAAATCAGACATGACTGCTTTCAAAGCAGCGGACTCGCCCAAATCTACCCGTCCTGTAGAGCGTCTGATGCTATCTCCTGACATCCCTCTTGCCTTCGCCATCTTAGCAATCTGCATCTCTAGGGTGTCAAAGGGAATGTCATATACACTCCCTCCACAAGCTGCGTCAATCCATGCTCTAGTATCGTCTTTCAGTCCGTGGATGAACGTGGAAAGCAACAGTCGTTTATCCATGCCGTGGTGTGGACAAAGGCGCTGATAGCCTTTGAATCTCTCCCATGCATCGTATAGACTCTCGTCACTCTCCTGAGTGAAGCTATGTATAGCTCTCTGTGCGGCTCGGGTCTTCTCTGGGGAGTAGTATTTCGCCATGAATTCCTCCTCTAGCTCCTCCCATGTCGTAATCGAGTTTGGCTCAAGAGTATAGAGCCAATCTCTCGCCCAATCCATCAGTGAAAAAGGAAAAGCCTCCAAGTATACATCTTCGATCGTCATGCCTCGTGCCTTTCTGACTGATCTACACAGCATCTTGAACTGAGTCAAGTGAGTAATGGGATCTTCTGTGGGCCGCCCTCTGAAGCTCGTCTGACTGAACATCGTGATGCACTGTGGCGGTAGCTCAAAGCTGTCTATGGGCGGTCTGTTGATGCATGATAGGAGTTGGGTGCGCTTCGGTGCAATGTAAGAACCCAAAGTCTCCTCTGCAACGTAAGTAGCTTCGCCCTCGGTCTGCTGATCGTAGAGCGGATTCATGTGCTCTTGATTCTCGTGATGCTCCTCAACATGAACCGCATGGTCGTGCGAACTACTTGACCTCGACATAACTCCTCTTCTCTGCTGATTTCGGATGTCGCTCAAAGTACGCTCAATCTCCGGATCGTAGACTAGGTCTTCTCTCCGAGTAGAGCTACGTGTCATGCATTAAAATCCTGCAAATCGCAAAGAAAAAGAAGAACTCGAAACCAAGTGAAACCGCAAAAACCAAAGAAAGAAAAAGAAAAAAAAAAGAAAAAAAAAGAAAACAAGCTAAGATCTAGAATCAATAAAGACCTAGAAATAGGCTAACCAGTCCCCGGCAACGGCGCCAAAAACTTGATACGTGTGTACCGAGTCTAAAATATATAACCCGATTCACAACTCACCGCAAGGATACGGATCGTCGTAACACGGGGTCGAACACAAGGACCGGTTGCTAAATCCAAATCTAGATCGAAAATAGATCAAAGCAAGCAAGCAAGTAATGATGGAAGTGTGTGGAATCTATATGAAACGAAATAAGAAAGCAAGTGAAACGAGTAACCTATCAAACAAGGATGACTACGGGCGTCGGGATCGTATTCGCGTGTATGGGTATATGCTAAGCATGCGAGAATAACGATTATGACTTGTATTCGGGAATCATCAAGCAACAAAGATAGAGAATTCACCTCTCGGTCTACTAACTCACTATCTACAGAGTAACTCGTCAATCTCTCGATCTATTCAAGTTAACCCTAGATGCATAAAGAACGCTATCATCAACCCTAGATCGATTAAGCCATATCTCTATGTGAATAATACGATCTATCCTATTGATTTTGATCCGAAACAAACCCATATCTCTATGTGGTTCAGAATCCAAGATAATTGATCAAGGGGTTAGCAAACATCAATCCAATAAAAGTGCAAATCAATAGAACCGAATCAAATCAAAACCAAAACACAAACGAATCCCTAACCCACAGCCGTGGATCTACTCACGGTTCATGGAAAAACACTGAGCAAAACCAGAAACAGAAAGAAAAGAGGGGGAAGAAAGACTCATGTCGGCAGCAAGCGATCTTCACGTTCCAACTCTCCTTCTTCTTCCCGAAATCCCGTAAAACTCCAATTTCTCTCACCAAAGCTCTCCCAAGT